ACCCAGATGCCACACTATTGAGCACTTTTTTGATCACTCTTTGTAATTATCATGAATAAGTTTTGCTTTTTCAAAAGCAATTTTTTTCTAGTTGTCATTTCCTGCTTCTCCGGCTCTGATGATTCATAAAGTAGGCTATAAATCTCATTTAGCTCTTGTTTTTATTTAGATGAAATGTTGAGGGGCAAGGGAGAGGAGGGTTACTTATAAATCTTCTATCTCTCTGGAAACACAACTTGCATGTTCTTTAATTTTATTTACTTGACTCCAAATATGAAAAACAACTTTATGAAGCACAAAGGAAAATATACTTGAATTTACTCTCCTTTATTGAAGGTAAGGGGCAATAGGTGTAGCTTTCCAATTTATTTTTTGAATGTTTACCCACCACTAACCATCACCATATTAAAACCCATTAAACTAACAAAGAACCAATTTAATTAATGTTAATTAATATTTAATACCTTCAACAAATGTTTACTGAGTGGCTACTATGTCCCAGGTATATAACTACTAAGGATATGGAAGTAAATAAAACAAAAATTCCTGCCTTCGTGGAGTTTAAACTCTGTAAGGGTAGAGAAAAAGGATAAATTATAAGGAATGTTAGATAGTAATAAGAACTATGGAGAAAAATAACATGAAAGGGAAATAAAGAGTGTGTTGGGGGTAAGGGTGTTTATTTTTTTTTGAGAGAGAGAGAGTGTGTGCAAGTGAGCAAGGGGCAGAGAGAGAGAAAGAGAGAGAGAGAGAGACAGGAAGCAGGGCTCAAGCTCACCTGATATGGGACCCGAACTCACCAGCCTTGAGATCATGACCTGAGCCAAAGTCAGATGCTTAAGGACTGAGCCACCCAGGTGCCCCAGGTGTTACCATTTTAAATAGGGTTGTCTGGAAATGCCTCTGTGAAAAGGTGGTATTTCAGTCAAGATTTGTAAGCCATTCAATTATCAAGGGTAGAAAATTCCAGGCAGAGGGAAGAGCAAGCATAAAAGCTCAGAAGCAGGAGAGTATGTTCTAGTCTGAAGAAGAGTTAAGAGGCCAGAATGACCAGAGTAAAGAGAAGAAGAAAGATTCTAAATTTCCTTTCTGGCTTTTCACCAAGACATTCTGAGGTATGGTTTTTAAGTAGATTTAGTGACCACCATAGATATCACCTAGTGACTGCCTGGGGCTCATAACCTCTGGCAGCCAGTGAAGCGCATGAACGCCCTTCCAGAGTAATGCTTTTAAATGCATAAAATAAAAAATATAAAATTATACAAGAAACTAATTATATTGAAATATAGTTCTAGCCATAGGCCTCCAAATGTCATGAAGGGTCAGCAAGTTAAGAGCTCCTGAACTTTCTGGGGTGATGGAAATGTTACACAGATATATACAATGGTTAAAACTCATCAACTTGCACACTTAAGATCTCTACATTTCACTGTATGTAAATTATGCCTCGACTTAAGAAAAAAAAAAACCTTGAATATTCCTTGTTGTTGTTGTTAATGTTTATTTATTTTGAGAGAGTGCATGGGGGTAAGCACAGGAGGGACAGAGAAGGGGAGACAGAATTCCAAGCAGACTCCATGCTGTCAGCCAGAGCCCAATGTGGGTTCAATCCCACAAACCACAAGATCACGCATGACCTGAGCTGAAATCAAGAGTCAGAGGCTTAACCGTGAGCGCCCCAGGCGTCCCAAAACCTTGAATATTCTAGTCCCCTCTTTATTTTATAGATGAAGAAAAACAAGCTCACTCAAAAAGTCAGAGACTTACCAAAGACTTTGATGATTCGCAGTATTCTTTCTTTTCTTTAAAGATTTTATTTTTAAGTAATCTCTACACCTAATGTGGGGCTTGAACTCAACCCCAAGATGAAGAGTGGAGATCAAGTGGGGCGCCTGGGTGGCTCAGTTGGTTGAGCATTTGACTTCGGCTCAGGTCATGATCTCACAGTTTCTGAGTTTGAGCTCCATATCAGTTTCGCTGCTGTCAGCACAGAGCCTGCTTGGGATCCTCCGTACCCCTCTCTCTCTGCCCTCCCCTGCTTATGTTCTCTATCCCTCAAAAATAAATAAACATTAAAAAAAAAAAAGTGGAGGGGCGCCTGGGTGGCGCAGTCGGTTAAGCGTCCGACTTCAGCCAGGTCACGATCTCGCGGTCCGTGAGTTCGAGCCCCGCGTCAGGCTCTGGGCTGATGGCTCAGAGCCTGGAGCCTGTTTCCGATTCTGTGTCTCCCTCTCTCTCTGCCCCTCCCCCGTTCATGCTCTGTCTCTCTCTGTCCCAAAAATAAATAAACGTTGAAAAAAAAAAATTAAAAAAAAAAAAAAGTGGAAATCAAGAGTCGCATGCTCTGTGGACTTCTTATTTAAATATACAGGACTAGTTCCAACTGGAGACCTACCCATTCACAAGCACCAATCAGTGGTGATTTTATTTTGCCACTATTAACTATGCCCATTCCAAGTAATCTAGCTGTTTTTAGAGCCTGGATGAAAAGGCCACTTACTCCAAACCAGATCCCTACCCCAAAGTAGAACCAATCAAGACAATCTGTGGGCTAGGAAAGATAGGGAGCTGAATGTGTTAAGGCAGTAAAAAAGGAAGGGGAGAAGCAGAGTGGAGAAAATGGAGTAACTTCCTATATTCCCAAAGCTCTTGAGTTAAGAAAAGCAGCAACTTTTATAATTTAATTTTCATAGATAGTATAATTTTCTTCTCCTTAATATGTAAGGTGAATTCTACTTATTTGCATAGGATATAATCAAGAAAGGAAGAATCTCAAATTAAGAAACCCTTCTGTTGACTTACCAGATTGGACACTCTAAGATTTTCTGCATAGCATTAAGGACACTTTGTACTTCTTCAACACGATCTGCAGATAAATCCATTTCTCCCTGTTCCAATGAATTTTAAGGCATCAACTTAAATATATATGGATATACACACGCACCAGTCACTTTAAAAGATTTATAAGAACAGACTAGTTTCATTATATGTCATTTTTAAATAAGAGAAACTTAAGACTGGAGTGCTTCAGAATCATACCAACCATAGAATTAATGACAAAGCTTTATTTTTTAGATTCAAAATATTGTTTTTTGTAATTAAAGACCATTATTTTCTCTATTTTTTTCCCACATACAGCCTCCAACCACTTCCTTTTGGTGTATTCCTCTCTCCAAGAAAAAGAAAGCCACAGTGGGGTGACTGAGTGAGTGATGGTAGCCTCATATTTCTCCAATCACCTGGCTCCTTTCTTTGTCTTGTGTTTAAAACCAAACTCAAAAAACAAGACCAACACCAACCAACGCTCCCCACCCCTGCCCTTCCCCAGTGTTTCTCACTGGTCTGCATTCATCTCAGGATCCTTTTTAGGTACGATCATACCAGCAATATATGCGTGACTGCTGACGCCCCTCTACTTTCTTCTTGTCCCTTCTCAGAAACGCGTATGAAGCCAGTTCTTTCTTCAGGGCTCCCCCTCCCTCACAACCCACCCTCCTCCTATTTTCCGACACATTCCTGCTCCCTTTCCTCCTTCCTCAGGATACCCTTCTCACACACCCCAGCCCGTCTTTTTACACTATATATTCCCCTCGGGACACATTCCAGTTCCTGTCATCAGGATTCCCCCTCGGACACACCCTGCTCCCTCCCTTGTCCTCAGTGCCTCCCCCACCCCGGGACCCACAAGGCGCCCCCTCCCCAATTTCCCCGGACTTAACTTCTTAGGCTTCTCAGGTTCCACCCTCCGCCCGCCCCTGCCAGCCAGGTAATGCCCATCTTGTTCTTCCCCACTCTCTCCATACCTGTTTCCTGCCTGTCCCTCGGAGCACCCCTTGGGGCCTGTCCCTTCCGGCGAGCTCTCTCACCTTTACCCAGAGCAAAGCGTCGGGGCTTCCCGGGCCCAGGGCCCCACTTATATAAAAACCTCCCGGGCCGTCCTCAGTTCAGAAAAACCTCAGCGAGCTCTCGCCGCACAGTCGCACTTTCAATTTTTCTGTAATTCCCGCGCTTTCCTGTTGCCACGGAAACCGTCCGCGGCCGCTGAGCGAGAACCTCTCAGAATACGAGATCAAAACACGTTACGGAAGGGAGGAGCAGAAAGAGCCGAGAGTCTTTCCGGGCTCCCGATTGGTCATCCATTCTTCCCCGCGTTACGTAATTAGAAAGAGACGGAAGAGAAAGAATTCTCCCCCCACTTTTCTGTGAGGCCCTTGCCCCCTCACCTGTACGCTTTCAGTTGCGGCTTATTACGTCACAGAGACTGCGGGACTAGGGTCGAAATCAATACCTGAGGCCTGAATAGGAGCGCAAGATAGTGCCTGAAACATTCGCAAGAAGAGGCCCCGTTCCCTCCCCATTTCCGCCGCAATGGAAGTCTCCAGTTTAGGTAAATAAAAGGATTGGGGGGGGGGGGAAAACTACGATTTCCAGCATGCATTGCGGATCGAAAGGCCTTCGACACAGTGTTGCTTGGAAACTGTAGTCTTATGGAGAGGCGCTTCCAACACCGGAAGCGGGCAAGTCTCACGGCAATCCAGTTGACAGATTGAAGAGCTCTGTGCGCTTACGCACGTCAACAGATATGGATTGGAGTGTTAGGTTTTCACATCTTGAGAGCGGAGAATAGGCTAAAGAACCTACAAGTCCCAGGAAGACTACAATTCCCATCCAGCCCCGCAAGTCTCGGGCAAGGAGTCCACTAAGGTCAGTGACCTAAGGGAATGCAGTGGACGCCGAATTTACCTGGGAAGGGGAAATGGGCCGCGGCCCACGATTGCGCACTTGTAGTTCCGCCCCTCTGCCCCAGTGTTTGTTGTTGTTGTGCTGTTATGGCTGCTGTTGCCCAGCCCCTGCCACGCATGCTCGGCCAATCAAGGGGGGTGGTAGTTTTGAGAGACAACTGTTAAGAGCCAATCATCTTGTCGGAAACTCAAACTGGGGACTAGGTCCTATTTCTATCCGCCATGTTAGATTCACCCCGCGGGGAGAGCAGCAGAGCTGGCAGCGAACGGTTTTTGCACTGGCCTCCGGCAGGCGCCCCCCGGGGGCGGGGAGCTGGTAAGGAAGTAGCGGCGGTTACAGAGGGGTGGGAGCACGTCGCCACTGAGAGGGCTAGGGGAAGTTTACAGAAGGGATCCTGCAAAAGAGAAGGCGACTTTTTCCGTGTCTGGGGGCAGCCAGTCTTTTCAGTGACTGGATGAGAGAGCCGTTTGGGCCAGGGGGCCGAGGCGGCGGATACTGCCAGAGAGATGGGGGGGTCCGTGGCTCAGAACGCTCGGCATCTATTGATGGGAGGCTGAGACTCTCCAGCAGAAAGAGGGCCTAGGCAAAGAAAGCGAGATTCCTCAGGGGGTGGTAACACGGTCTTGGGGGCATGGAGTGCTAGGGACACGATAACTGGAAGACAAGGATAAAGTCTGCAGGGAAAAAAAAAAATGACAGTGCCCACACAGCCTCCCATCCCCATCCCCCTCCGCTTGTTGAGAACCTTGTAAAGATGTCTCCTTGGTCAGGGACCTCTGGTTTTGGAAAGGCACCGTTTTTCCTTTTTGTCAAACACCCAGCTATAGGTCACATGTTTTAACCCCCGGATTAACAGTCAGGCCTTTGGTGGAGACGGTAATCAAAGCTCAAGTTCCCAGGTCTGCTTCATTAAAGGGATTTTTGATATCCTGAAAAATTTGACGTAGAGGAAAAGCTGACTTGTGCCAAGCAAAGGTGAGCCAGTGGCATGAACGTATAATAATGCCAGTTTTGAAAACTGAAGGCCTAGGACCCAGCCGTCTGACTTTACTGGCTTTAAAGCTACAAGGACAGATGGTGCTAACCATAGCTTTGGTATTTCAAGTTCAAGATTAATGCTCTTGCTGAAAGAATTTTCACATAAAAGCCAAACAGAAATAGGCAGTTCTTTATGAAGACCTGGGTATGGTCCAGCTAAGCTAGAATCCCCCACTTCCTGTTTTCTCTCATCAGCCTACCAGCTGGATGAGCTCCAAGGTATCTAAACTAACTTTAATTGTGTATGTAATTTGGAACAAGGGAGTTAGATTAGTTTCCTTCTGGACTCTCAAAAGTGTGGAAAGCATTTATGGGAAGTTGAAAAGTAAGAAGGTGATTCAGAATATCCACTTTTTGGCTGACTGAATCAGTTACTTCATTTCCCAGATTTTTTTTTCTCCCCAAGAATCTGGGAAGTTGACCTGGGGAGGCATTCTGTCCAAATGTTAAGGACTCCAAGAATTGCATTCCATAAGAATGAATACTAGATGTCAGCAGATTGGTGCTAGAAACTGGGCTTGGTTTTTTTTTTTTTTTTTTTTTTTTTGGTTGTGAACTTGACTGTAGGTAGAGACAAAAAATGGAAAAAATTGGAGGATGATTGGTTTTGAATTTTAAAAAAACCCAGATCCTCAGAAAGTTCAAAGTCCTCTTTTTAAAATGTTTATTTATGTTTGTTTTTTTGGAGAAAGAAAGAGAGAGAGAGAGAACATGCAAGCAAGGGAGGGCAGAGAGAGAGGAGGGAGAGGGAGAATCCCAAGCAGTCTCCACACTGTCAGCACAGAGCCTGACGTGGAGCTTGACCCTGTGAACTGTGAGATCATGATCTGAGTCGAAATCAAGAGTCAGATTCTTAACCGACTGAGCCACCCTGGCACTCCCAAAGTCCTTTTTAATGACACTCTCAATGTATTGTGGAAAAACAGGTCTGTTTTGGCTTCTAAAGACTGATTTATTACAATAATTTTTGTGTTTGAGTAATGTTCTCAGAGAACTGGGACACACGTTTTTATTTGACCTATTTTACAGATTAAGGAACTGAAGCTCAGGTCAAATGACTTACTGTTTTGTACATGGCTAGTTATGTGTCAGAGCTGTGTCTGGAGCCCAGCTCTTCTCAGCCCTTTTGCTCCCTCACCATTACACTGCAAATTCCTGAGACATAGTTGTTCATCTCCTTTCTCCATTTGCCTAGAGCAGAATCTGGTTCTTTGAAGAGATTTCTTAAAAGATTTGCTGATAAATATGTTTAAAAGATGACCTTTTTCATTACAACTTAGGTTCAGATTTTAGTAAACTATTTTTTCACAGAGTCATAAGAACAAAATCTATAGGTCCCCGGGTGGCTCAGTCAATTGAGTGTCCAACTCTTGATTTTGGCTCAGGTCATGATCTCATTGTTCGTGGGTTCGAATCCCACATCAGTTTCCATGCGGATGGTGCAAAGCCTGCTTGGGATTCTCTCTCCTCCTCTCTCTGCCCCTCCCCCACATGTGCATGTGTGCAGGCTCTCTCTCTCCAAAATAAATAAACAAACTTAAATAATAATCTAACAACTCATCAGTAAATAAAATCCTTAATTAAAAACAACTGACCAGAATAGACATTAAATTATAGAATTGTTAACTTCTTAGGCATGATAATGGTATTGTGGTTATCTTTTCAAAAAGTCTTATTTTTTTAAGGGTTACATACTCAGTTATTTTATGGATGAAATAATGGCTGTCAAAATAATCCTATTGCTGTAACAAGATTAGTCCTGGGTTGATGATAATTATGGAAAATTCCTGATGGGTCCTTAGGAGTTCATTGTATATTAATCTTTATTCATTTGTATATGTTTAAATTTTCCCTTAATAGTTTTTTTTTAATTATGGTACTATAGTTTGGTTAAAACATTAGTTAACTATGGTCAATCTGTATTGGGGGATTTGGGGACAATACAGAATTATAGACAAAATGACGATAGCTTTGAATTGTTTACTATAGTTATATGTCCATGACTCTCCACTTTTATGCATGAAATGTTCCATAAAAGAAAAAAAAAAGTAAAATACAAAAACAAACAAACAAAAAACACCACATGAACTTGGATGAAAGGTGTTGACTGCTACCCCTGTGTAGTTTCTTGGCTAGTGTCTTGGCCTCTGAATTGTTAAAACTGATCTTAACAAAGAACCTGGGTTGCTCAATTTAGGAAAAGGCTGTTTTTCTAAGAAAGATGTAGAATGTTGCTTTCAAGCTATGAGAATGTAAATTCCCTGAGGGTAGAGACCTGTGGGTGTTCATCTTCATTGGTATCCTGCCACTAGTGGATATTCAGTAGTATCTATTGAATTAACTAATCATATAAAGTTCCATAAAATTCAAAAGAATTTTACAGCTGTTAGAGGATTTCTGCGGATGTGGCCAAAATTTATACTGTTTCAGCAAACGTTTAACAATGAGATTTGTTTTAAGCTATCCACCAGGTTGTAAATAGCATAAGAGCAGAGACATTGTGTTCTCATTCACTTCGGTGTCTTCCTAGCCTAACCCATATTAGGCCTTCACAAGTATTTGCTGAATGAATGCTTATGCAGTTTTATAGAACCCTTTCCACTGTTTTCTCTCTCACCCATCCTCTCAACTCTAGCCCCACAGCATGGAACCACAGGTTACTCTAAATGTGACTTTCAAAAATGAAACTCAAAGCTTTCTGGTTTCTGATCCAGAAAATACAACTTGGGCTGATGTTGAAGCTATGGTGAGTGTTACTTTGTTTCTCCATCTTTTAAGCCTAATTTTTCCAAAGATAGCAATTTTTAGCAATGTTGTTTCATAGCTGTCATATTTACCTTTTCTAGGACTTTTGGAAAATTACTTTTGACAGGGGTTCAATATTCATGTAGGCAATGTTCTCCCCACCCCCAAGAGAATAAACAAATTCCTTAATTTGCAGCTAGACTTGGAAAACCTGTTAATTTTAGAAACAGTCTAAGGAATGAATTGGTGTGGCTTCCACCCTAACCAGGCCCCAGGGAAATGTTCTCCTGCCTGAGAGCAGATATGTTACTGTAGTTTGTGAACCAGCAAGGATTTAACCTAAGTTTTGCAAGAGCTAATTGTTATTGCTAGCGCAGAGGTCAAGTATCTAAAAGTTTAGCAAAGGGGCCCCAGGCTGGCTCAGTCAGCAGAATGTGTGACTCTGGATCTTGAGGTTGTGTTTTCAGGTGCCTAGTGGGGTGTAGAGATTGCTTAAAATTTTTTAAAGATCTTAAAAAAAAAGTTGAGCATGGGGCACCTGGGTGGCTCAGTCTGTTGAGCGTCCAACTTCGGCTCAGGTCGTGATCTCAGGGTTCGTGGGTTCGAGCCCCATGTCAGGCTCTGTGCTGACAGCTTGGAGCCTGGAACCTGTTTCAGATTCTGTGTCTCCCTCTCTCCTTGCCCCTCCCTTGCTTGTGCTCTATCTCTATCTCTCAAAAATAAATAAAATATTAAAAAAAAAAGTTGAGCAGAAAAAACTCCCACAGGTGCTTAGCAGTTCATCTGTTCTTTTGTTGTTGTCAATGCCCTCCCTCCTCTTGGTTTGCCCTTTGTACTCTTCTGGTTTTTGTTTGCTTTGCAGTAGTGAATGTTTTACTTCCTGTGTAACTGTTTATCCAGCAAAACCCTTTGGTAAAAACCTGCTTTTATTTGGTTATGTGCTATGAAAACTAAAAAGAAAAAGAAATGGTGGAAAGATTTCAAAAGATGATCTGAACTAGTCCTCTGTCTTCCAGCAAATATTTCTTTATTCTGGCCTAAACAGATGGTTATCCAGAAAGTTGGGGTGTTTGTCAAATGATCTGAAAATCAAACACAGTTATTTTTCTTTTTCTAGTAGTTAAATGAGTTGACAGCTTGCCTTTTTTCCTTACTGTAAATTTTAAATTATAAAAGTATAATATACATGCCTATTATAAGAAGTAAAACAATCCAAACACATACTAAGAAAAAGTTAATATCCCTCTATTCATTTCTCTTCCATCCACTGTTCCCACCTCTTTGTTAACCATTGTTAACTGCCTTGGATATAGTTACCCACATTTTCCATGTTCATACAGATATCATCTTAGGAACATACTGTAAACATAATTCTGCAGCTTGCCTTTTTTCCCAGCAGGATGTTATAGACAGTTCTCAATGAATAGATAAGGATCCAGGGTCATCTTTTTTAAATCTATAGATTGTCCACAGTATTTTGGTGTTGTCATACCATAATTTAACCATTTCTAATTGAAAGTTTCTAGTTTTTTTTTTGAGATACAGGTGCCATATAACATTATATTAGTTCCAGGTATATAGCATAATGACTCTAAATTTGTATATATTGCAAAATGATCACAATAAGTCTAGCTAACATCTGTCACCACGTGTAGTTAAAAAATTTTTTCTTGGGGCTCCTGGGTGGCTCATTCAGCTAAGTGTCCGACTTCAGCTCAGGCCATGATCTCGCGGTTTGTGAGTTTGAGCCCCGCGTCAGGGTCTGTGCTGACAGCTCAGAGCCTGGAGCCTCCTTCGGATTCTGTGTCTCCCTCTCTCTCTGCCCCTCCCCAGCTCATGCTCTGTCTCTTTCTGTCTGTCAAAAATAAATAAACATTAAAAAAAATTTTATAAAAAAAAAATTTCTTATGATGAGAACTTCCTTAGCAACTTTCAAATATACAGCACATTATTAACGACTATATTCAGTATACTGTACATTACATTCCCAGGACTTATTTATTTTATAACTGATAGTTTGTACCTTTTCACCACCTTCACCCATTTCACTCACCTCCCACTCCCTGCCTCTGGCAACCTGTACATTACATTCCCAGGACTTATTTATTTAATAACTGATAGTTTGTACCTTTTCACCACCTTCACCCATTTCACTCACCTCCCACCCCCTGCCTCTGGCAACCACCAGTGTGCTATCTGTATCTGTGAGTTCATTGTTGTTATTTCACTTACACAGTACCCTCAAGGTCAAAAGGGGTTTTTTGTTATTGTTGTTTTTCTTTTCACCATTATAAAATAAACTACAGGAGAGATCTCTTTGTGTATAAAACTTAAGCACTGTTTTGTAGGATAAAGTTTTCCAAAGAAAGATTAATGGGTCACAAGGCCTGTGATTTTAATTTTTGATAGATACTGCCAGGTGCTTTGCAGAACAGTTGTAGCCAGTGCAGAAATATATGACAGTGCCCTGAATTTTTGACAACACTGGATGTTATGGCTTTAAAATTTTTTTCACCATTCTATTGAGATGACATCTCATTGCTTTAATTTGCATTGTTGTGACTAGCATTAAGGTTAAACATCTTTTCCTATACTTGTTAGTCACATTTGATCTCTCTTGAAAGAAATCTCCATACGTTTTTGCCTACATTCACCTGGATTGTTTATCATAATTGATTAGCAGTTTTGCAGATGATTTTTGTGTATTGCTGATAATAACCCTTGGTTATGAGTTGCAAATATTTCCCGTCTATTCTTTGTCTTTTGACATGGTTTTCTTCTTTTATGCCATTTAAATGTTTAGTTTTTTAAAGTTTTTTTTTAATTTATTTTGGGAGAGAGCATAAGTGCACATGCGTGTGCCAACTGGGGAGGGACAGAGTGTCCTCAAAGAGAGAGAGAGAATCCCAGGCAGGCTCCGCACTGTCAGCATGGAGCCCAGTGCAGGGCTTGAACCCACGAACCATGAGATCACAACCTGAGCTGAAGTCAAGAGTCAGACGCTTAACTGGCTGAGCTACCCAGGCGCCCCTAAATGTTTAATTTTTATGTAGTGAAATATGCTCACCCTTTCTTTTAGGACTTCTGGGTTTCTGTTACAATCTGCCTTTTTGATATGATGTATATACATTTCATTTGCAGGTAAAAGTTTCATTTGATCTGAACACTATTCAGATAAAATACCTGGATGAGGAAAATGAAGAGGTAAAGTATACGATGGTACCCATGGCCAAGTATCCAGAATAGGGATCTTATTTCTCAAGAATGATGGGGGATTGAAAAGTTCCGACTAATGTTTTCTCATTTGTGTAGTGGTTTAAATGTACTTGATAACTGCATGTTCTTAGCTGACTGTGGAATCTGAGATGGAGTTGAGAAATAAGGAGTAAACATTGAAGAAGGAAATTTGGGAGATAACTTTTAAAACTATATAGTCCTATAGTTCAAATATATCATAACTTGCCATTTAGCTTATAATAATAAAAATAATGACAAACCTTTATTGAGTGACTGCAATGTGTCAGACTAACAACAGTACTATGTATTGGGTATTACATTATTATCTCTTTTTTACCCATGAGGAAACTAAAGCCCAGAGAAGCTAAGTAACTTGCCCACAGGCACAAAATCTTGGAAATAGTAGAGTAGGGGTTCCTTCCATATACTCTGACTCCAGAGCCCAAGCTCTTAACCTCTATATTATGCTGCCTCTTAATGTACCTGAAATAAAGGAGGATACAGGAGTTAAGCAATAAAAGTCCTTAAGTATTATTCAGAGTTAGTTCATGATACTGGAAAAGCTGAATCCCTAACCTGAGATTGTTCATCTTATCTGTGAGGCTGGTCCTAGTAACAGAAATGTTACAATGACAGGAGGTTTATAATTCCCTGTTGCTTTTGTTCTTTTACAGGTATCCATCAATAGTCAAGGTGAGTTCCTAAGAGAACCTGCTTAACTTTACTTAAAAGCCTTAATCTGGGGGTGCCTGGGTAGCTCAGTCATTTGTGGAACCAACTCTTGATTTTGGCTCAGGTCTAGATCTCAGAGTTGTGGGATCAAACCCCTGACTGGGATTCTCTCTCTCCCTCTCCCTGACCCACACATGCATGCACATTCTCTTTCTCTCTCTCAAAAAAGAAATTTTCAAGCCTTAATCTGTTGATGGGTGTATGCATTTCCATTTACACTAAGATCTTGCTGCACTATTTATTTTAGACTCGAATTTAACATACAGTAAATTGACATCACACTCACTTGTCCATGGGCATTAGTTACATAGCAGATTTTTATTTTGTAGCAGTTTTTTGTATATGCATTAGTGCCTTTGATTGGACCCTAAGGACAGCTTTAATGGAAGGTTCTCTTATGTTTAAGATGTTAATCTTTTGAAAACATGCCTCCCAGTTCAACACATACAACTCCATTCTCCCGATGTTGCCTTTGTCCCTGACTTGGTATATATGTTAATGTCACCTTAAAACAAGTGGTATCCCAGAGTGTATTTCTAAGATGGTTTGGTTGTTCAGAGCTTGGAGTTCATTTTCCCATAGGAACAATGTTGCGTTTAAAGGCTAGGTCCCGGGGCGCCTGGGTGGCTCAGTCAGTTAAGCGGCCGACTTCGGCTCAGGTCATGATCTCTCGGTCCGTGAGTTAGAGCCCCGCGTCGGGCTGTGTGCTGACAGCTCAGAGCCTGGAGCCTGTTTCAGATTCTCTGTCTCCCTCTCTCTGACCCTCTCCTGTTCATGCTCTGTCTCTCCCTGTCTCAAAAATAAATAAAAAACGTTAAAAAAAAAATTACA